GCTACAAAAAATAGGCAAATAGTATCACTRTATTGACCATTTTCCACCAGCTTCTCAATGCCTGCTCTAAGACAAGAATAGAAACAAAACAGAGGAAAAGGCACAATGGGGGCAATTCATGGCAAACTTTGGAGCWTGACAGAGCAGGAAGTTCAGGAAATCATGAGCAGGGCAGTGTACTGAGTTTCTGAGGCTTTTTTTTATCCAAACCTATAAACCTCGTAGCACAATGATTGAGAATGGTGAAAACCCCTTGTTCAAACTGGTACAGCTCAGGGGCAGTAGGGCACAGAGTTCAGCCAAGGTGGAAGGAGAATGAATCCTTCTGAGTGCCATTAACATCTACAAACCAGTCACCTGGTGTGCCTGTGTCACTTCCCTCCATCCATTCTATCTTCCTGTGTTTATTTTGCACTCTGCCCTTACCAAATTCTGGGCTGTGCAGTGATTTATCACAGCCTTACAGGCAGCAGGCCTGTGGASGGACAGGAATGGCCATGGGCAGGAGTCCATGGGTACCTGGGAGTGGTCAGGAGTACAGGTCCCTAGAAAATTTTACTTTCCAACAGCAAAAGGTCAACAAGGATTACACCATCTCTGTCATTCATAGCCCTACCTGGCAAATTAATTTCAGGCACCTAAAGCAAAGTGATCTCACAGGTGTCTAATTAGCCATTCATCAATTTAAACAGAGGTTTAATTTCACAATTCAGCCTTGGAAGGTTTATAAAATGATACATTTGCCCCCAGAAGGAATTCTGGGCTAATTTAGGTACTGTCAGACAACATATACACAAAAACTGTGGTACTCTCAAGGACATAAAGCTTGAACGAAACCCAGAACCATTCTTGACACAGWTGTTTGCACACAGATGTTTACACAAGACCAGGCCCCAAAGGAATCATAACATCCATATTCTTAATATAATTTATTGTGTGACTCTTGGCACGTCCAAACTTCAGCTGGGCAAAAGCAGGGAAAACATCGAAATGCGCTGAGAAACTCTGTATTTGTATCATTGTGTTATCCTAATTTTTAAAAACATTTCACTATTAATTGTGACTGGTGCAGCTGGTGGATATGGAAGGACAATGGATGTTTCCTGGAGTGTTGGCTGTCATTATGTCAGGTTTCAATTGCCTTTCTTTCTTTGCACGTGTTAAAAGTCTGCGTGGAGTCGAGCAACACGAAATCTAAAATTAAATTGCCACAGTTACAATGGGGAGGCAGARTATGTATTTAGTTCTAGAGAGAGGTGGAAAAGTCAGAGCCCATATCTCCACAGATTGTCTGTTATAGAATCAGTGGAGTGACAGGGGTTTCTCCAGGGATGAATCCAAAGCACCTTCCTCAGCCTTTTTGTAGATTTTCTTGTGCTGGAACATGAAATAAGCTGAGGATGTTCTGTAACCTGTGCAAACCACAGAGAGGGAACATCTGCACACCCCTGGGATGACAGTGGCCCTTGGACAAAGCAAACTGAATCATCTTTGCATTGTTCAACTTTGMCCGTGAAAAGTTTGGGATGGTCCATACATGTCCAGTTCCTGGACTCGGGAATATTTCCTTGTGCTTTTTCCTTTACAGACCGTGCAGGTATTTGGGATGCTGTGGGATGCCTGGTGTGGGGTACTGAGACCATGGTAGGTGGTCCCTGGATCATCTAGGAAAGCATCCATCCTTTACCATCATTACTCAGAGGGTGGTGAGGCCCTGGCACAGGGTGCTCAGAGCAGCTGTRGCTGCCCTTGGATCCCTGGAAGTGCCCAAGGCCAGGCTGGATGGGGTTTGGAGCACCCTGGGACAGTGGAAGGTGTCCCTAAGTGTTCCTAGGGTTTGGAACTAGATGATGTTTATGCTCCCTTGCAACCCAAGCCATTTTAGGATTCTACAACCTTTTCCTGTTAGAATGTGTGATAAATGCAGGGTTTGTGCCCAGGAATCACCAGGGCACAGAGAACCCCCATTAGAACATGGATCAGGAGCTCTCAGTACACACATCACAGGCACTGTTTGAACAACTGAGCCCCAGCCTTGCTTTGTCAGGGATGTTTTGTTGAGTTTCTGGGTGATCACATTGGCCCACTTGACATTTGTTAGTGGGTTTCGATACTGGCTGCTTCATGCCTTTAATTCCTTTGCTGGGGAAGTTTCAACTATTTTAATGAGCTGATGATAACTCTGAAGGGTGCTTCTCCAGCACAAAGCAAAACCATTTGTGCCAGGAGTGGGGGCACCATTAGCAGCCATGTCCTGAACCCCTGCTCTCAGTTCAGGGTTTAAGTACTACAAAAGCACTTCAAAATATACCATGAAGTTTTTCTGTCTTTAAGAAGAAGGGAGGAGTTTAAGGCTGGAATTCAGCTGAATTTTTTTCGGTTAGTTCCTTCGAGAGCTTTACTGTAAATTGTTTCAACATTATCACTGTGAATACATGSTCTAGTGGAAATTGTTCCTGTCYATGGCAGGGGATTGAAACCAGGTGATCTTTAAAGTCCCTTCCAACACAAAATTTTCAATGATTCTATTATTCTGAGAAATACACCAACAAATGACACTTTGTTTATTTCGATCTGGTTTTTTTTTTTTTTTTGCTTGTTTCTTCACTTGTGAAAGAATTATAGTACATCTTTAATCTTTTATTTATTACTTTAGTAATCATGAGCCAGAGCAGCTAACAGAACACAGTTCTATCATACCCCAAATGGAAAGACATTGYTTGTCTTCAGAGTATTGGATTTTGAAAATCAGAAAATAAGCCAAGATACTGTTCTTTGAAARGTATGGACTAAGGAACAAATTGTGAATCTCACATTTTCTCTATCACTGRCCCTTAAGTTATCTCAAGCTTGTCAAAACAGTTTACTGTGGATGAGTTCTGCAACTATTTTTTCTGGCTCAGATTTTGTACAGCCAAAAAGGGTTAATGTGGAGTCAATGAATGCACTGGGACAGCAGCAAATAAAATTGAAAATATCTTCTAGAAAGCAGGCACAAGGTTCTCATACTTTGCTTCATTTCTAGGTATAATTTGTGTAGAGTTTACTTCCAGGTGAGGGCCTGCTTTGCCTGTTACAAAAACAAAGAAAATTACTTTTCCTAAAGTGTAGCATCAAATCAAAAGCCAAAACTGGCTCAGTCTTAAAGGTGGATACCTGAAGAATGGTGCAGAAAACAAAATTTCATTGTTGCACAACAAATTAAAAATGAAGAATCATGAACAGTTCATATGTTAGCACAATTGATTTTGTTTATTTTTAAACCACCCCAAAATCCAATCATGCTCTATGTACACAGGCAATACACGGGATAACACACCAAATGTAGACAAGAAAGAHAAAATATATTCTGGTTTATTTTGCTGATGATTTTCCTCTTTATTATTTTGTTGTTATTGTTGTACATCTGCTCAAGTCAATTAAACAACCCAACCCATATGGATTCCTACATCAATCCTACCTCAACTCCCAACCCTACACTGTCTCTCTGAGAGGAGAATCCATTCCATAACYTCTGGGGGGTTTTTCTGAATGCTGGAATGTGCTGATTTTCTGTCAGTTCCTTTGGGCCTCATTTCTTACGGAGAACTGTTTAGGGCAGAACAAGTATATCAGCATGTATCTGCGTTCACTAAATCCTATAGTTAGTAGGTAAGACCAGCTAATGCTTTGGGTTACTCAGGAAATCATAAGTAACACACACACACAAATGAAAATGGAAAATAATCTTCCACGTCGTTTGAATTGYTAATTTTCTTCTCATTTCCAGTGTCGTTTATTTTGCTAAGCACTGCTGCAATTCTTTCCACTTGTCTTTATGCTCTTATTTTCTTACAAAACAGTATACTAGGCTTTCTGTATAAAACATATATATAAACATTTATATATATATATATATATATATAAAATAAAATTAAAAAAAACCAAAGCAACCACCCCCCAAACGGACTTACAGGTATGTCTTTGTCCCTCATTAGAAAATACACTGTGTGTACATCTCTTTGTGGTCCCTGAATGTCACAGCGCTATCGGAATGGGGTCAGAGAGAAAGGGGACTTCTTTTCCCCTCACTTTGCTTTAAAACACACAGATAAATTACACAAGGTGAGCAAAAGAGTAGCCACAGGAACAATCAGATCCTGTTTGCACACTGACACCACGTCGTTCTTGTCACTGTTGTTGTCACTACTCTTCAACTTGATTTCTAGTTAATTTTGCACAGGTATTAATACAACTGTATATATATTTTTGTAACACATATTCTCCCCTCACAATCAGCTGGATGCATGTTCAGGGAGAATGAAACACTAGAAAGTTGAAAAGATCCTGTGACTCTGGAAATTCTTATCCTGCTTAACTTTTCTGGTTCTCTTTCTCAAAGATGATCAATCAATTAGGAAATGATGGTTAATTCTACATTACAATGAATTTTTAGTAGCCTTTCCTTCCAAAAGATGTTTTTGGACACTGATTTGTGATAACTTTTTTTCCCAATTAATTGCTGGCATTATATACCAACCTTGAATTTTCGTATAAATGCTGTTTTCATTTTATTTTCATATAAATGCTGGGTTTTTTGGGTGCAAGGSCCCCGTTATTGGTACAGATGGTTCTCTGTCCTCAGTATCTATTCTTTCATGAAACAGACTGGTCACTGGAATTACTTATCATTACTGAGCGATGTGGTGGGAGAAACTCCCAYGCTGAATATACCTCACAATTGGGTGATAGCAAGGGAGGGGTTAAACTTCAGCCCAATTTATTTAGGTCATGAAAAGCTGACCTAAAGAAACTTCGGCACAATTTACTTGGGACATGACTTCTTGACCTGAAGACTCTGTAACTGAAAAGCCCCAGATATAAAAAAATGCTATTAAGATTGGGGGGGGAAAAAAAAAAGAAAGGAAAACTGTATTGAATTTTACAAAAAAAAAAGTACTGCTTGCTGGTTTACAAAGAGTCTATAACACTGATAAAATCTTCGGAAACCAATGTGCTGCTTTTTTTTTTTTTTTTTTTTTTTTTAATTTTTCATCTCTCCATGCCCTTCTTTATTTTGGCTTCATTTCCACCCGGGAGTTCATATCATCCCCTTCCAGGTCGTACTCTTCYACTTGGCCGCTGGTCCACACCTTCATGCGGTCGGTGAGGTCACTGGTTCTGGGTGCCAGGATGAAGTCGTAAATCAGGGCAGCGCTTGCTCCTCCAATGATTGGGCCAACCCAGAAGATCTGAAACATAGATCCAAGTTATGGCATAGGGCATTTCTGCATTTGAAGCTCCTCTGAGGATTCTCACCACAAAATTCACAGTGAGAACATTAAATCTATGACCTGAATGTTTTCTGAAACATGTGGCARAAAAAACAGGAGCTTCTCACCATCAATTGGTGATAGACCCAATGGTGAATAACTTTGACTGTGTTGTCAAGTCCTGATTTTTAAAATCAGTTCTCTCCTGCTAAAACATCTCTGCTACTCCAGATGAAGTTGTCAGAGGASCACAATTCCTCAAAACAATAGGGCATTAGATTCCATGCTGCGATTAAATTCTAGTGATAGGTGAATTTGAAAGTAATATTTAACAAGGACCTAMTTAGGGGCTTAATTTGCTACTAGGTGCTGCTTAGCTGATAATATTACTGTAATTGAACTGGCCTCAACACTTTAGGAAATTAAAGTTTAGAAGGAGARGTAATAAAAGGATTTTAGCAACAGGTTGATTTTATTACAAAGAACAGGCTTTTCAGGGCCAAAGCTTTAGTGAATCAGAAAACTTTTTGTTTCATTCAGCAGCATCAGTAGTTTAACACAAATTATTACCTTTATCATCTTCTTCTGTCTGTGTAAAAGATGATAATATTCCTATTAGGTTCTGAAAATACCAGCTATTCACTCAGTTACTTCCCCTTAGTGTCCTCATAATAATGTTCAGGCAGGAGATACTGTCAAAATTTTGCCAAAGTCTTCCATCTATGTTTTACTCTTTAAATTAAAATCGAATCCATATCCAAAATTTTCACAATTCTTTGTATTACCACTAAATTTCCACCAATGTCTATGCAATGGACTGCCAAAATCATGAGTAGGAGAGTTGGAACAAGCCCTATTTTATATATTCAAGAACACATGCTCACTTACAACTTTTATATCAGCCTTCTTTAACAAGCGTTGGTGAAATAAGGAAATTTTTGTGAAGTTCCTCATTTTAACCACATTTAAACACAGGGAATAATCTAAAATTTACAGCATTTCCAGAGCAYTTATTCTTGAAAACACATAAGCAGAAACTCAGCTTCAAGATGTTGAACATTTTATTAGCTCTTACATATAGGATGATATATTCTAGTTTATAARCCTGCTTGAGAAACTTTCTAAATTAGGTTTTGCCAGATTACTCAGTAGCGCTTTACAAACTCAGTTTAAACAATAAGCACACGGTGGAGGATTCTGTGTAACAAGGCTTAAACATTTAAAATGTGTGAAATAAAAAAAAATAAAATGGGAATAACCAAAGAAAATCTACTCGATTACTTGGAACACAGAGCCTGAATAAGGATTTTCTGATTGCCTGAGGCAGATCAAGATTGAAGGAGGATTATTTTTTGTTAAATAAAAGTGAAATGCCAGCTCACTGATTTGATGCTCATGATTTGTGTTCAAATATTTCTGACCTTGTAGGTTTTATGTTTTCCGAGCCTCTTGTGTGCTAAATAAATTTACTCCACTTACCCAGTGATTTTCAAAGTTGTTGGCGATCAGCGCCGAGCCGAAAGATCTGGCCGGGTTGATTCCGCAGCCAGTGTAATCGATCTGGGAGACACAAAGAGAACCAGCAGTGAGGCACTGATGAAACCATCGCCATCCCGTCACCTCCCTGCCTGTTCCCAGGTGGGACGTGGCAGATATAAACCCCCAGGACTCAAACTCACAGCGAGGAGATGTCCCAAGGCAACGGAGAGCCCGATGGCCAGAGGAGCTGAGCCCGAGACGTCGTTCCTTCTGCGGTCTGTGGTGGCCAGGACACACAGCACCAGCTGGAAGGTGGCGATGATTTCAATGCCCAGCCCTTGGCCTGCGTTGATTCCCTCCGAAAGCTGCATGGAGACAAGAAGGGAAATGTCACCTCACCTTCCTGCATGACTTCAACCAGCACAACGAAGTTCTACAGGGTTTATTTTCTCAAAAGGAAAATGCAGACCTGCACATCTGTTTGTCTCCTGGGGTTCCTTTTGCTTTAAAGAGCAGGGAAAGGGAAGAAAAATTAAAAAAATGTACAGAAATAAGTTTTGAAATGCTCCCTGCTCTGCTCAAATCTAGGCAAAGGCAGCCTTTTTTTTGGTGATTCAGCATGGTTGAGTGGTTGCTCCTTCAGTGAGCWCTCAGCCACTGGACACAACGAGAGTGTGACTGATCCACAAGTAAGAAATAAATGAGCCAGAGATTCGCCTTCAGCAGAGCTTACTTGTCCAGAAGTGTGCTGTGGTGCTTTAGGACAGTCACTTATTGCTTCAGGGATTACTACATTAATATTAAGATATTAATATTCCACCTGTACTGTGAATTAAATGCATGAAAATATACCTCTAATGCCACATGAAATACCCAGAGATATTCATGGAGTTCATGTGGAATTGGTAGGTGCSATGGAAGACAAAAAGTGCCTAAAATATCTATAAATATCAATATTCAGCTATGTATCTCTAATTTGCATAGATAATAGATAATATGCTAGCCAATGGAGATGAGATCCATTCACCTGATGAAATGTAGGTGATCATTTGAAAGCTCTGTCTTTTTTTTTTTTTTCATAGATCTCATTTGATCACAAAGAGTAGTTCACAGGTGAACTATTTTTTGGTGCCTTAGACCCAAACTGAAACTCATTCAGCTACTTTGGGGTACACAAATAAAAGATGCAATTTTAAAATCCCAAGGGGCTGATGGGATTGCTTCGATTTCCTTCTGAAGTAAATTAGATYACCCAGAAAAACTCAAACCACCACACATAAATCTTCCAGTGGTATTATTAGTCACGAAATCAGYAGAGCTTCTTAGAAATGTAAATGCTGTAGAACATATTGAAACCATGGTGATTCACACAAATGGACATTACAGAGTAGAAATCTGTCATATTTCAGGAGCACTGCTAAAAACTTGTCCCCAGCAAGAAACCATTTGATGTTTTAACAAGTTTTGGGTTCTGCTTTTAATTGCTGCATGCAGTGGTGTCTTCATTAAGTYAAGGCAAGTCTGTTACTGAGCTGAGTAACTTGATGTTGAGCAGAAATAACTCATTTCATGGATGGGATGAAACATTAGCTTGGCCACAGGCCAGAAAATTGAGACTGTGWGTGACTCAGAGTAGGAAGCAAACTCTGCAAAACTTCTATTAATTTGTGCTGTCATTAGGTTATCACATCTGTCAGAGCTGCTGCATTAAAAATCGTTGGGTCATACATGGCAAAAAAACATAATTWCATGTTATTGCGATCTGCCCAGAACAATGAAACCACGGGAAATCCTGCTATTAATCTGATTTTGTGGTTTATGCCCTAATTTCCCCAAAGCTAATATTTGAATAACCTTAAAACTTAAAGATGGTTGACTGGACTCTTTCACTTTCACCTGTGCCATTCACATTTCTTGTTTCTTCTCCCTAACAAAGTAGCATGATAGCAAATTCCCAAGGACTGAAAAAATTCATCTGAGTTTTCAGTTGGCATAAATCTGATTGATGTATTTTTATATCTTGTTCTTTAATATGCAGTAGTGATCTCCCCTGAGTAGCCAGGGGTTTAGCCAAATAAAGGGAATTCTGGTTGAAGGGATGAGTATTTTGGTTCCTTCAGCATACATGGAGTAGAAACTGAAATCTATTAATGAAATCTTCATCATCATTAGGACTTAAATGAGAGAAGTGTGAGTCTGATATAAATGCATCCATGCAAGACACACTGAAAATTTCATGATCCAGAAATTAATGCTGAATACCTGATACCTCTAAATTAATATTCTATTAGTTTTGTAAGTTTTAAAAATAAACACTTTTTTTTTCACTGTAGAGATATTGGGATTTTTGCCTCTCAGTAAATTAGGTTTCCAAGGCACCTCCTTGATATCAAAAACAATTTAAGAATCCGGACTACATACGTTCTGGAAAATTTTATCTCACATTTGGAAGGCCAAATGGCCGAACTTAAAAGCCAGGTGTCTTAGGAAATGAGTGACTGATGTGCACATGCCCAAAAGCAGATAAGGAACCAAATTCTTTTCTGTCATAATGCAACCCCAGAGAACCCAGAGATGAGGGCTGACGCATCAAGGTTGGCATTTGACAAAACCTTGACATTTTAAAAGATTAAACACTGGCCAACCATTAGGCTTTCCCTTCACTTGAAGGCCTTCTCTGAAAGACAAAAGACAATAAGAGCAAAATCATTCTTTAAAAACCTCTGATAATCCTTATCTTCAAGGGGCGGAAATAATATTCTTCCTTTGTCGCCAGGAAAAACACATCCTACAGCTGACGTGACTTGAGGTCATTCTGCTTCTAATCAACACTTATTGRTGGGCTGTGTGGAATCAGAGAAAACCTGGAAATATCATAGGAAACCTTTTGCTTTCCTCTAGATGTGTAATTTCATGCAGCCTGCCAGGAAYGTTAAGATTCCACTGTGAGAGCAAGGACTCTGGGCTGGGTTCCAAAATGGGACAAACCCAGGCAAACCTTGGATGTGCTGCTTTGCTGGGGCCTGTGGATCTGCAGTGTGTGAGTGTCGGATGGCAGAGAATTTATTCTTGTCAGAGCTAAATTATCCCTGCATCAGCAGCCTGGGMCATCAGGGGAACTCAAGGAACAGCAGCGGTGTTCACCATCCAAACCACACCACAGGGAAGCTTCAGAAAGGGAGTAGGAAGGGACATTTCCCTTGAGTCAAGTTAAAATGTACATATACATTTGCATACTTATGGGTGTATTTATATGTATATATATATATATATATATTTGGATGTACATTTACTTTTATATTTACATCTATTTCTATTTCTATTTACATTTACATTTACATTTACATTTATTTTTTACAATTGCATTTATTTTTAATATATCAATATTTATATTTATATTTATATTTATATTTATATTTATATTTATATTTATATTTATATTTATATTTATATTTATATAATCCTTATTCACAGAGGATTTGCAAGTCTTGCCCAGATGACATTTTGCTCTTTTAGAATTTGCTGGTTTAAGCTCTTTACAAAACCAGGTAGACACAACCAACATGAGTTTGTTGTCCTTTCCCTGCATTTTCTGTAGGTTATGCAGGTTTTTTAAGGAAAGCTTGAATTTTTGTRGAGTATTTTATATAATGCCAGACCTCAGAAGTTTCAGGGTTGTCCAAAGTGTAATCTAAACCTGGTAGGAAGCAGTACCACAGATTAGAGACCTGAGTAAAAACCCACAGCTGATGTTAACATCTAGCATTCTTCTACTGTGAATATCCAGAGCACAAGGAAACCAATATCTCTGACTCCCAAACAGATTAATGCCTTGAAACACGACCCAGCGAGCTCTGCTGCAGTTTTTGGGTGAAGAGAGCCCTTTCCAGTGACCTGTACCTATGCTTCAGTGCCTTTTTCCCTACTTTGATAGYTCTCACCAGTGGTGCCAATGTACGTGGGCTCACACTGCATTTGCCCTTGATGTATCTGCTGGAAAATATTTGACACCTTCTCTTTGCATCCAATAATCCTCTTTAAGGCAACAGAAAAAATGTCAGAGGGCAGGAAACAGGATAGCAACTCCCTGAGCTTCCCTTGTTTCAGATTTGGGAGACTTGAGGAGGGGATTCAGTGCTTTAAGGAACCAAGTATGTTCTAAGGGATTGAAATGAAACACACAAGCCCATATTCATCTCCAAAAGAGCTTACCACACCACAGGCTTCTTTTCCTTTTTTGTCCACATGAATATTTCCACTAAACTTCATTTCTAAGTCAGTGTTTTGACAGAAGAAGCCCCAGAAACACACATAAGAAATGGGCTGAATCACTGGTGAGATCTGAGAGTTACCTGTGGACACGTTTATCTGATCAGCTGAATCAATCCTGGCTGCATCAGCCTGCACTGAGTAATTGTCCCTCAGCTGTCACAGCTCCCAGATGAGAAGCAGAACATGCAGACACCCCTTCTGTGAGCTGAATTCCACCTTTTCCAACCTGCCTGMGTCCCTGATTAATATTTTTCCCCCTGTGAATCGGAACAAGTCATGGAATAAGAATCACCTGGAATTCAGTAAATGTACAGAAATTTCATAATTCAAAAGACTCCTGAGGTGCAACTGATTGGAGCCTAAGGAAGAACTAAAGGCACAGTTACTTAAGAAACAGGAACTACATTCAGATGAAGACTGTTAAACCCCAAAAAGCATTATCTAGACATGAACATGAGAGCAATTAACTGAGAGGAACACCTGCTTTCTGTCTTAGGAAGTGGGCAGTGCTCACATCACTTCCAGTTCTCCACAACATCAGGCAGGAGATGGGAACTATGGAATTTGTTTCCCAGAAGTGCCCTTAACCGCCATGTTCAGCTGGCTGACTCCCACATCAATAATTTGGTCAAATTAATGGTATGTTTTCTTTCCTCTTGATTTTTTTTTTTTTTTAGGGCAGGATATTTATTAGTTGCCCGCCTTCAGAAGAGGAACAGGGACAGGAAATTAAACTGGCCCAAGGTAAACCCCTCTGTGTACTTCTCCAGTGGCTTCATATTTTTCTCATTACGAGGGAAAGTATATCGAGTTCAAACCTGTTTCCCGTTATATGGATAAGACACTTTGTTATGCAAGGTGGTTTTGTCACGTGGGGCTGAGCTCCAGCTCATCCAACAAACCCTCAGCCCTGGACTGGGGTTTCGAGGGCTCAGCTTCCTTTCATATCACAGGGATTAGTTTCTCATTGTTCCAGAAAAAGGAGAGGCCYCTGGAATTGCAGAAGTCTGTTTTTCAGCAGGGGAATGTCAGCTTTCCCCCTCCTTATGAAACACCATTGCAAGTGCTGGTGGCTGGTGGGGTTTTGAGGGAG